AAGCGTGACCCGTCCTACTACATCCACAAGGAGGCGCAGGAGAAGGGCTACTACGTGCGGAACAAGGACGGCGGGGAGTTTGACGGCTGGTGCTGGCCAGGTGGGGCGGCGGGGAGGAGCCCTGGCCTGACTGCTGGTTGGATATGAGCTTTGTTCTTGTTATTGTTTCTGTGGCTGCATGAGAGTCTCCCGTGTTCCATTTCGAGCATGTGGGGGCTCAATTGCAATTGGGCAGTGTGGTGACACTCTGCAGCGAGGGGTGGATTCGGGGGGCTGGTGTCGGGCCCAGACCGGGCGTGATTTGTAAGGAGGAGGGATGGATCCAGCGGGGGCGCGCAAGAGAGTGGGGGCGGAATAGGGAATGGCGCGGGGCCGCGCAGAGCCTGAGAGCAGGTCGCACTCCTCCCCCTCCTGAGCCACACCTCTCACTTCCTCGCAATACACACACATACATACACACACACACACGCACAAGGAAGACTTCCCCCAAACACACACACACACCCCAACAGACGCACTTGTAAACACGCGACACACACACACACACACACATACACACACACACACACACACACACACACCAAACCCGCAACATACACACAACACTCCCCTGCCCCACCCAAAAGGCTCCAGCTCCTACCTGGACGTGACGAGCCCCGAGGTGCGCTCCTGGTGGGCGCAGCAGTTCACGCCCGACAAGTACCAGGGCTCCACGCGCCACCTGTACATATGGAACGACATGAACGAGCCCAGCGTCTTCAACGGGCCGGAGATCACCATGCCCAAGGACGCCCTGCACTACCAGGACAGGGAGCACAGGTGGGGGGGAGTGGCGCAAACGGTACTGTGAATCTTCTGTGGGCTTGTGCTGTGTTTTCCTGCGTGTCGTGTGTGTTATTGTGGAGGGTGGTCAGAACTTGCGATGTCGCCAAGGACGCGCTGCGCTGCAGGGAGGGGGTGGGTGCTCAGGTCTTGGGTGGGAGGCAGGAGTTGGAGCTAGACTTGTGTGAGGCTCTAACCCCTCGCGCCCGGCTCGGCCCGCCCAGGGACATCCACAACATCTTTGGGTACTACTACCACCTGGCAACAGCGGAGGGCCTCATACACAGGGGCAAGGAGGTGGGGGGACCACACAGGACAGGGCGGGACGCGCTCACATAGACACACACACGCACGCGCGTGCAAACACACACACGCACACACACACGCACACACACTCACACACACACTCACAGGCACGTGCACAAACTCACACACACACAGACACGCACACGCACACACACATGCACACACACACACACACCACCGCCCACACTTCCAGCTGTACGGGGAGGATGGGGACCGCCCCTTTGTGCTGTCACGCGCCTTCTTCTCTGGCACCCAGAGGGTTGGGCCCATCTGGACTGGCGACAACGCGGCACAGTGGAGCCACCTCAAGGCAAGAGCGCGCGCACGCTCCACACGCACGCATGCGCCTGGGCCGCACCTGCGGCGGTGGTCGTGCTGGGGGGTCGCATGACGGGCTGGGGCGCCCAGGAATGGGGCCACTGTGGGGTCGGACCGCTTTTGTCAGTCTGTTGAGGCGGCCTGGTCAACCTGAGACCGTCTGCCGCCAATATGCTGGATCCGCCCAGAAACACACACCCAGCCCCACACACAGTCACACAGCCAAGAAAACCATTGCCTGAGCCCGCACGCACAGTCACACACACATTCACGCACACGACACAAAAAAAACATATCACTCACATGCAGACACGCGCACGTCCGCTGCACACGCAAATACGCACCGAACTCATCACGTGTGCACATGCCCATGTGACCCCCCCAGGTGTCAGTCCCTATGCTGCTCACTCTTGGCGTGACCGGCCTGCCCTATTCTGGTGCTGATGTGGGTGGGTTCTTTGGCAACCCTGACGTGGAGCTGCTTGTCAGGTGGGGAGGGGCAGGGCACAGCAGGCTTGCCGCGTGCGCCCCTGTTGTGCGTGCGCGCACGCGTGTGTGTGTGTGTGTTGCGTGTGAGTGCTTGTGCGTGCATGTGTGCATGGAGGTATGATGGCGAGACAGAGGCAGAGACAAACACTCACACACACACACACACACACACACACACACACACACACACACACACACACATATGCATGCACATATAAACAACAAAACACACGCCCCACCCATGCCCCCCCCCCAGGTGGTACCAGGTTGGTGCCTACTACCCCTTCTTCCGCGGCCACGGCCACCTGGAGACGCAGCGCCGCGAGCCCTGGCTCTTCGGGGAGGACGCCACCGCGCGCATCAGGAGGGCCATCAGGGAGCGGTACGCGCTGCTGCCATACATGTACACCCTGTTCAGGTGGGGCGAGGGG